GCCTTGGGCAGGGTAGGTTACAAGGAGGAAATGAGGTTGTGGCATGGTGGCAGATGTGGCGGTGAGGGCGGCGCGTGGCAAGAAAAGCAGAGGGGTAGAATGTTGCTGTTGCGGAACAGAAGCGAGGTGGATGAGAAAAAAGAAAGCCAAGGATTTAATAAGCGAATGGGACTGAGACGATGACGTTTGAGCTGACGATTTTAAAGACTGGCTGACCCTTTAGCACTCTGTCTGATTCTGATTGGAACTTGGAACAAGCCGTAAGTCCATATTAAGTAGACAAAGCAGTGCTGATGTTGGATTCACGTGCGCCGTTGCATCACAGTCCCCTACGGCAGGATTCTTGGGGAAATCTAACTTGGGCTAAAATAAAAAATTTAGGCAAAATGACCTTTTTTTATTATGATTATTTTCAATAAAATTTTCTCCTCCATCCAACTAAAGAAAAGACAAAGGCTAGTTTCGTTTTTCACCTGTCATCTTCACTATTTACTTTATATGTGATCATTATTTCAGTGGTTATCCATATCATCAAGGACATAGGGAAATAACTAAGTATGGAAATACTTATTTTTTATTTTTTTAAAAAAAATTAGACGATGATTTAAATTATTATTTTTAACTATTTTAGTTAAATTTAAACGTTCTTTTTCTTGAAGTATTCAGACTTAGAGATTTACCTTACTCAATTGATTTTGTAGTGAAAATGAAAATAGTTTTCAAATCTAAGCTAGTCTTAAATTAGACTAAATTATTTAAAAAATAAACGTTAAACACTCGAGTAATTAGTTTATTAATTAGTGTATAATATCTCTACTTAAAGAATATGAGTTTGAATCTCCATCTTTAATAAAAAATATGAGAGTTCATTTACTATATTTCATCTATATCATTTTTTTTTGTTTTTTTTTAAATATTTGAAAATAATTATTTTCAAAATTTTGAGCACGTAATATTTTTTTAAAAAATTTTAAAATTAATTTTTTTAATTTTTTTTTGAAAAATAAAGATGATTGTACATCAATATTATAAAATGAATTAAAATTTATAATATGAAATACACGAAATTAATTGAAACAATAAAAAAATCAACTAAAAACATCTGAGACAATAAGAGTATATAAATTCAAAATTAAAAAGGATCAATATTTGGTAACAAATGCTTCCATTTACCACTTGTATAGTTGTATTTAACTCGTGTCTTTTTTTTATTGATAATTATTTCATTTGTAATTGAAAGAATTTTTTATTTGCTTGTGGTTCTATAAATAATCTGTTTCGTTTTTATATAATTATTAATATTATATATAATATATTTATTGACATATCAAAACACGTGAACGTAAATTGTGAAATCTAAATTCTAGATAAGACGAAAACTATTAAAAGGCTTATAGAAACAATCACGTTTAAAAGAAACAAACAAAGAAGAAGAAAATTTCTTAAAAAAAGAAAACCATGATTTTTCCTTTTTATTTTATCTAGTTCTTTTTGTTTAATTGTGAGGACGCAATCACACAAAAAACCATGGTGCACGAGGAAAGGATTTTCAATTAAAACAAACAAAGTAATTGATCATTTGAAATTTGAAATATATATTTCTTTTGATGATCTAAGTGAATAAATTAAAACAAGTTACAGATGAGACGTTCTGTTATGGTTTTGTTTCAATTTTAAGGTCACCTCCCATTAATCACTAAAATAGATTTTTAACTCACATCACATGCCTACTTGTGCCTTACGGAACTCTCACACATGCTTTCCAACCAGGTCAACCTCAGTCCTCACTATCCCAGCTAAGTTAGGAGTCGCTTCTTTTATGCCAGAAACACCATTCCCTATTCCGGCCCAGCAGCTACTATGGAGCAAGGTTGGGTCTGCCTGAATTCTTTATTATTAAAATGTAAGCCAAAAACTCATCCACATGGTGTAGGTTGGAGCGTGCAACATGAATCTACATTAATTATCCATTCAAATTAAATGTAATTTAAGTAAAATGATTTGATTTAATTGATTCATTAAATTAATTGATCTAAAATGTTTGGTTCAATTGATTTTTTTTTTGGTTCTCAATTTTAAAATTTTTATACCAATCTATTTAAAAAACAAAACTAATAATATATATATTAATATATATAATATTTTTTATATATATTAAAAAAAATTGATAGTAAACTTAATTAATAATATATTTAAAACATATTAAGGTATTATATGTACCTATACAAATAATAATTATAGCAGTTTACTATTAATTATATATATTAATTTATAAATTTGTATTAATATGAAATTACAAGTTATATATTTTAAATGATATA